GTTTGTGCATTCAGAAGTTGAATTATTGGCTTGGATGATCTGATTTCTGCATTCTATTATACTTTAACCATTTGCTGCAGCTGCAAGTATCTAACAGAAAAACTATTGAATCTCAGTCAGGAAGGTCTTTGGTCCCGAGTTGCAAAGAGGCCAGATAAAGGCAAGGTATATGGCCCTTGTCACTTTGATGTGTGCAAGCTTCAGCAATATTATTAAAGCCACTTTATATCGGACTTAATTAATAGCTTCTAGGTCACACGATTTTGTCATTTGTTGTTCGTTTCAAAATGATCTCTCCTGTTGTTCCGGGCCATGTATATACTTACCAAATCTCCAAACAAGTGCAGTAATTAAAATATTTGTAGAAGACTGATCGTATATACTTGATTAAAAAGTCCAATACTCGGTGCCCAGCATTTTGGGGTCCAAATTTTCATTTATATGGATATATTTGTAAATGTTATAATAAGGGTCCATCTTTACGTGGCCCTTATGGCATCATAAGGAGTTCACATGCTATATGTGATTTGATTCGCAGTTTTGTTTATGAATGCAATTCGAATAAATTGATTTAGTGCGTGATAATTTTATTGAAAAAGATCGATTAAGAGTTTCTAGTCGCCACAGTTCCCTGATTTTTCTTGACAATCTGTGGCTTGGACCTTTTCAATGCACAACAAGAATATAGTGTTTGCTCTGCTTCGTGCTTCCATTACGTATGGTCTCCAAAATGTATCATTTGGCTCGGTTTCAGTTCAATTATGACGTTTATGTTTGAATTTGGACAATAGAAAAAACAAAGAAATTTTTTTTGTCCATGGTTGAGACCATCTGAATCCATTAAGCAATGTTCCAGGACTACAGAGCACGACGGTCATAATCGTTTGTTTACATTATTCTTTTTCTATTTCCCCAACAGAAATTGTTTGCATCATTCTGAAGATGCAAATCAGCATTTACTTTTGTACCCATATATGTAACAAAATTGGAAGCAGTCATTGTGGGTTTTAGAATGCATTTTGTTGTCCAAAAACTATGTCTTCCCAGAGATAGAACTGCACTTCCATAGATTCACGAGATAACATTCTTTGATAATGCTGCACCGGAAGGCAAATGATAATTACTGTTTCAAGCCATATCTCGACCTTAGATTACTGAGTGTTGCACCATAATCAGCATTCCCCTTGCTGAAAACCTCATCCCAAATCTTTTTAATATCTGTTACCAAAATAAGTCTATATCAGATGCAAAATTTTGAAGCTTCAAGAATGCTGAGATGATTTTCGGAGAAAAAAAGTATAATCAGATTCACCCAATGCAATATATGAATAAATACGATAGACAACTATATGAAGTTCTTTCCCTCTTACATCTCCTTATCAGTTCTAGTGTGCATATGTGAGTGAAATAAATAACCTTACAAATTTAACATAAAATTTATTCTCTATAGCCCAACTCATCAATTTGGTGTTCAGATATTTGTAACAGTTGAGGACTGCAAGATTGAAAGAAAAGAAAAGAAAAACAACAAATTAACAAATTTTGCAAAGGCTGAAAAGGCAAAGATAATTTTCTTTTTTTTGAATGATCGTGTCTACAATTTACCAAAATCGGGGTTGAATTTCTATTTAAAGGAAAGAAAAAGTTAAATGTTCTAGGCACATCCACATTGTCCTTTATAACTGCCAATCAGCATCAGAACTGAAAAGTTTAAAATTATAGCACGTCCCGAAGTTAATTACTAAGAGAGACACATTTAGGCTTACCCATTCACAGTTAAAACATATCTACATCTGCTTACCAGCCTTATCAGAAGATCCAAGGCACATGATGATCATGTCGAACCTCGGGATTTTGATCAAATTCTGTAAGTAGTCAACACCTAAAGCCATGTCCTCCCTGCCAAATAAACAAGGTAACAAACAAATCATGCGCATGTTGCCATTAAATCACACAAATATAATAACATATTTCAGTAAGGAATGATATCTTACATGAAAAAGGTGGAGACACACTTTATGATGTCAACAAGTATTGGAGCTGATAATGCATTTTTAAATATCCCAGGCAATGCAGCAGGCGAAGTTACCTGAGTAATGAAAAAGACAGATTCAGCTAAAGGTAAAGTATATCACTCCCTTTTTGTTAGTAATAAACAGTGTCAAGTAAGCCAATAGAAACACTACATATTATTCCTTAATTCAATGACATTAACATAACTACCAAATTTAGAATTATGAGTTGCCAATTTTTGCGTCTAGCGAGATGACAAAATAAAACATGCATATCAAAACTGACATGATAAACACCAACCTTCAGTAAGCGAGCCTGTAAATCACAGTCACCAGACAACCCTCGCCAAGTCATCTCAAATTGATAAGCTGAATTTGGTGGAACAATGTTTTTTGCAGCTTCGGACTTTGCAAAAATTGCTGCTTTAACAGCAAGCTCTTGCACGGATGCCTTCAGTTCCTGTTTGTTATACTTTGGTATCCTCTGTCACAAGTTTGGACATGGAATAATCATTAGGACTTAGGAGACTAGAGATGAGAATGAAATCTCGCAGAAAGAATACCCAAGGGGCTTGGGCTTGTGCATTAAACAAAACTGGAATGGCTTGTAACAGCATTACAGCATTAGTGTCACAACTGGAAGTAAGACTAAACCAGATAGCATTATCATTCAAGCACGGCCAATTACTTGAGCTCAACTCCATACTCACTGCATAAGTTTTTTTTTTTCCAGGGACTGCATTACAAATTTCATAGAACATGTTTATTCATTTTTTTTCCCCAAAAAAGATGAATTAATTATGATGACATGATTTTGGTAATGTTAGCAGACCTGGTCTTGATTATCTTGGATATTTACAGAGTTGGGCCTTCTTTATGGTCTCAAATTAAAATAACCGACTTAATAAACATGTAATGTTTTACTCGAAAGAAACACAATGGAATGGTAAGTTCTATGTATCCAAGAGATCAGTTTTGGACCGATCTCCAAAGTAAGATTGCATAGGCTGGCTACCAATACCACAACTGGTTTCATTACACAACCACAAGTATTCAGGAGTCCTAGAGTACACATGATAAAATAATTAGGTGTGATTTGTAACGTAAAAATCTGAGTAACTTCTAACTCATGCAATACAAATACATACAATAAGCGAAGTTTATAATCAAGGGAAGAACTCGTCACCAAACCTTAGCAGTCTGCAAGCTACTACCACCATCAGATGATCCATTACTCCCAATGTTGTTTATTTCAACTTCCACAGATGTATCAGCAACTACTTCTTTAATATTACTCCCCTGAAAAATAAATTTCCGATGGCCGAACAAGCAGTTACTAATATCCAGCATATGAAACCAAAAAAAAAACAATACTAGACCACAGTTTTCAAATAAATAAAGATACTCAAGTTTAGAGTTCAATTCTTCAAGTGGGGCCCAACGCTAAAATGACCATTTTAACCCTCAGTGATTTTCATTCAATGTAACTCTTAAAGAAGTTATGAGTGATACACAAGGAAAGTGAACGATTATATTTCAGACTAAAACCTTAGGATGATCTTCCAGGATCTCAGCCACTCTTCCATCAGAAGAAGTTTTTGAAACAGTCTGGAGCTGTACATGCTTGTTCCTAACCGCCTCTGATTTTCCTGGTCGTGCTCCCTCCACAGTTTTTTTTAATGCCCCAGATGCCTTCTTCAGAAGATCCTGTAATTGCAGTAAATAAAAAGCATAAAACCAAAACCTACTTCGGGAATGAATCTAAGTAAAGCCTAGCAGTTCAATGTAATATCCATCAATGACAGTTTTCTCAACTTTACAAATAACAAACTCAATTGGGATGGTTCAGGCAGTATGAGGGAAGTATGTTGCTGCATGGTTTGAGGAAACAAGGGGAAATACAGTAAATATTTGTAGCCATAGAAGTTGCTCAACATATGAACCAGCCAACAGATCAGTATCTACATTGAAAAATATTAAGGAAAAATAAAATAAAACAAAAACAAAACTTAATTCAGTCTAGTAAAAGGTATATACCTCCTTAAACAAAGATTTGCACTCGGCACACTGCTTCTTAATCTCTTGGTTTTGTGGCTCCAACCTCAAAGCAAATTCAGCATCTGCATTCCACTAGAGAAAAGTTCAGTCACTGTACAAGAAATGAGACTGAAGAAGTTTTTCATCAGTAACGAAGAATTCTACCATCAACTGCTTCTTTGAGTTTCCCAAGTTCTTTTCTTGCAGTAGATCGACGAGAATAAGCTTTTATGTACCGATCATCTAAATTCAAGGCTTCTGTACAATCATTTTCGGCCTCCTGGAATCTATTCCAAATAGAAGCAATAAAAAATTGAATTCTTTTTTTAACATGTGACAAATTTAGTACAACGTGTAGCAAATAAACCTTTTAAGTTTTATGTATGCCATTGCCCTGTTGGCGTAAGCTACTGCAGTTGGTGATAGTGCTATACTACGTGAATAACAGTCTATTGCTTCATTGAATTTCTTCTGCTTAAAAAATTCGTTACCCTACAAAATAGAAAGGAAGAAAGCACATGAGCCAAGTTACAATGCTCCTTGCCATGAGAACAGAACTAAAGTCGAAAGGCAAGAAAAGCATACCAACTCTTTCTCGGAATTAGCATCAACATCGCTCTCTTGAGATGATACTCCACAAGATAATCGATTGAGTGCCTCATATTCTTTCAAATAATCATACTTCATGACTGTACTTGCTTTGTCAGAAAAGGGAGTTTTGGGAACAGTCTGTTTATCATTACCTGCAGCATTACTTCTACTAGGCTGACCTGGATGGTCCTTTCCACAACATAAGAATAGAGAAAGCATAGAATATGGTTAGAGTGTGTAATAAAGAATCCATGCATGCATTGAAATTAGATATTTATTATAGACAAATGAGTGTAAGTCTGTAAATAATTCATAAACTAGTTCAATCTTATTACAAATTTAAATCTAACAGTTGATTTGTAATCGATCTTGACTTGAACATGTCCTCCCAAGGCCTGTTAAGACTAAGACTACAACACAAAAAAATGGATGATGAGAACAAGCTTCAAGTGGACATCAACAGGTTTCTTGATTTACCAGATTATATGTGTGAATGTCAACTATTCTCATTGACCTTTAATTGTACATATTAAATACTCTGTACGAAAATAGTATTCAGATACAGAAAAGACCACATAGAGATATAACAGTTTCAAACAACTAACTTCTGCTGCATGGATTGTTTTAAAAAAACAAGAATTCCAAATTTCTGTGTTTCAGCTTAATTCGTATGAGACAAATCAATATGCATTTGACCCCAAATCAATCGAGGGATCGGAGAACAGAAAATACTCTAGTTTACCTCTGAAAGTTATGAATAGAGAATGGACAACTCAACTTATGTCATTTGATATGATTATTTTGTTCTAAAGCATAACTCAGACTGAAGGAAGTAGATGATGAACATAAAACACACATTTCTATATGAAAATGAAGTTTAGTAACTGAAATGAAAAAAAGAGCACTTCTGCAGCCAAATCATTATGTCAATCCAAGCATATGACTAATACAACTTACAACAGCTAAACCGCCAAAGCAGAGTCTTCAATCGAGAAAAATGAAATCTAAAAACCAATAACTTACCAGTTTGCCCTTGCCGACAGTATCTAGTCTCAGTTTCTTATCTTTGTCCTTCAACGACAATTCCCAATCCTGTAAATTACTCAAAAGGCCCTCGAAGTCCTGCTCAGCCAAACAATTCCGAAAGGGATAAACAACTCTCTCCTTGTCACTAACCCAAGTCCCTCCTCTCAACAAAAACGTAAAAAGATAGGACATTCTATTGTTGTTGCAAGGGTCTCATTACATGCATTCATCATCATTATTACTGCATTATCTGGATTCACTTAAACACCTTTCTGTGTGTGTTTAATAATCGATTTAGAAGTTCCTCAAAACTATCTTTCCTGTACAATGCTTTGAAGAACCAAAAAAAACAAAAAGATACCTAATAAAATGGAAAACGTATAGAAAAAACTTTTTCTTATTTGAAGTGACTACAAAAATAATCAGAACTTATTTGCTTATTTAACAAAAAGTATTTCAGTAGAACCAGTATGAATTTGTAAAGAACGTTCATGAATTAAACAGATAAGGTGTTTCTTCGGGGACTTCCATATTCCTAGAACTTAAAATTGAAAAATTCTTGTAGTTGTCAAAGGGCAGACGAATTACTCCTAATTATTTGGAGAAGAAATCAAGCTAGAAGCGATATACAATGATCCAAATTAGCAACCACAGAAACTAAAGAATAACGAAAAAAATTGTCAAATAATTTCGTGGAAGTATTGTACCTCAGGAAGATCGCGAGAGTGCTTGGATGTGACGGTAGCCATTGTTGGTTCGAGTTGGTAACTGTGGTATGAGGAAAGAGCTCTCCAGACTTTTCTGCGGCTTCAACTTCACAGACATGCGTTTTATTACTGACAAAGACGCAGTTAAAAAAAAACACGGAGTAAATTAGGTAAAAACGTTTTATTTGGCTCATATATTTAAAAGAAAAAGTTGGGAAACTGTGCATGATAATTGATACAGCAGTTTGGCCTTGAGGATGTACACGAATCGAGCGGCTTTGGCTCACGAGCCGTTCGCGAGCGCTCGAGTCAAAGTTCGGCTTGAGTTCGAGTTTGACCGAACTCGAGTCGAGCTCGAGCGACTCGAGCACAAACTCGAGTCGAGCTTGAGCCCATATTTTGCATTGTCGAGCGGTTCGAGATATATATTAAATTACTAAAATATCTATATATATATATATAGTACAATTAGTATAGCATAGGTGCTTAATGGTAATTTTATTTTGTGCTTAATGGTAATTTTATTTAAAAAATTTTGAACCGATCTTGAACATTTTGATTTCGAGTTGACCTCTAGGCTCATAAATTGAGCCTGACGAGCTTGAGCTCGAGCAGCTAACAAAAAAAAAAATCAAACCTGTTCGATGAGGTCAATGCTAGACTCGACTCGGCTTGTTTGCAGCCCTAGCCTAGACTGCGTCTTTAAATTTGCAAACAAACCAATTTCCAATAAATTGCTAAGAAACACCAGGTCGGTAGGATTCGGGCAAAGAATATTCTGGGATCTTTTCCATGGATCACAGGAGAAAAGAAATTTTTTATCGTGTCTATTGGGTATAATTCGAAGTGGGTCTAAACAGAATCTCTAGCTCATATTATAGATTAGCAGAACTTCTGACTCATATCACAGATAAACAGATCCAAAATTTCACGTGGAAGTCCATTGTGTATCGTTTTGGGGCCTCACGAGCACTCATTACTGACAACGGAAAGCAATTTGACAACAAACGCTTTCAAGAGTTTTGCAAAGGTCTATTTATAGACCACAAGACAACCTCGATAACATATCCCTGGTCCAATGGCTAGGCAGAAGTCACCAATAGGACTATCTGACGAGGCTTGACAAGGCAAGGGGTCTATAGGTCGGTATTCTTCACGAAGTATTGTTGGCTTATAGTACAACTCCTCGAACTACTATAGGAGAAACCCCATTTAGCATGATGTTTGTGTCCAAGGTGGTCATACCCATGGAAGTCGGAATTCCAAGTCCTAGGGTGAAAATGTTTGATGTAGAAGAAAACATTGATGGTCATAGAAACAACCTCGATATGATCGAAGAGCACAGAAGCGGGCAAGGATTAGAATGATTGCCTATCAACAAAGGGTGCCAAGTATTACAACAATCGCGTTCGTTTGCGATACTATCGACCAGGTGAGCTTGTCCTGAGGAATGCTCAGTTCAACTATCAAGAAAGACATAATGAGTTATCTCCAAAATTAGAATGGCTCTTACAAGGTCTGAAGACAAGTAAATTAAGGCAGTAATAAGCTGGAGGGCTTGGACGAAAAGCCTATACCAAGGTCCTGGGTACGTGTTTATGTTGGATGGTGGTGTCATTTCTTGGTGTTGTGCTAAACAAATACTCATTACCACTTCTACTATGGAAGTTGAGTTTTTGGCGTGTTCTGAGGCATATCGCACCAGGGAATCTGTTAGGAACTTTGTCACAAGGTTGCGAATCATTCCAGAGGTTGAAAAACTTATAAAGTTCTTTTATGACAATAAATCAACCGTTCTATACTCCAACAACAATAGGAGCTCGTCCAAGTCGAAGCATATTGGTTTCAGCGTTAACAAAGAATATTGGTTTCAGCATTAACAGTAGTAGTTCACAACAGCACATTAACATAATTAAATAGTTACATATGGTGGTGTTGCTGTTGCACCCTCCACACTCAGAAAATTGTACACATTATTATAGTATCAACTCAGACCATCAATCACATGTTCATCCAACTCCACCAAAGAAAACAAAACAATGAAATCAATCAATCCCAAAAAACACTCCCCAACAACTTCACTTAACCAATCAATTCAATTCCGACCAACTCCATCTTAATTCTTCCCTATATAAATCTCCAGAACCCAAACAAACCCAAAACCATCCTAACAACATAAACTTCACCTCCGCAAATGTCGAATCAAACCTCAGTAGCGACATTTTTCCTCGCGACACTCCTAATAACGTCAGCCTACGCCACCTCACCACCAGACTCGCCCGTCGTATTAGAGCTATACATGCACGACATCCTCGGCGGCACCACCCCCACCGCCCGCCCCATCACCGGCCTCCTCGGCAACATCTACAGCGGCCAAGTCCCCTTCGCCCGCCCCCTCGGCTTCCTCCCACCCCGCGGCGCCGTCCCCATCCCCAACGCCAACGGCGCCATCCCAACCCTCAACCCCGCCAACGGCATCCCCCTGGGCACCGGCCTCGTCGGCACCGCATTCGCCAACACATCCCCAAACCCAAACAACAACAACAATAACAACAACGGTGTAATCGCGGGCCAGCTAGGGCCCGACGGGCTCGGGCTAGGGTTCGGGACAATCACGGTGATTGACGACTACTTGACCTCGGCTCCAGAGCTGGGGTCGCAGCAGCTGGGGAAGGCGCAGGGTGTGTATGTGGCGAGCTCGGGGGACGGGTCGAGTCAGATGATGGCGTTCACGGCGGTGATGGAAGGAGGGGAGTTTGGGGACAGTTTGAATTTTTTCGGGGTGTATAGGATAGGGAGACACGTGTCGAGGCTGTCGGTGACGGGAGGGACGGGGAAGTTTAAGAATGCGTGCGGGTTTGCGGAGGTCAGGTCGCTGATTCCGGCGGGGCAGGTCGTGGGTGATGGGGTCGAGACGCTGCTTAGGATTACCGTGCATCTTACTTACTAATGATCGTTGATATATATGTGTGTATGTGTATGGGAAGTAATTAATGGTTTGTGCTGAAATTGTTGATTATTTGCTGTGTTTTTTATTTTGTGAATGTGTGCATGTGGGTATATATTATGAAGAACGGATTTGTGATTTCTTCAACTTGAATTGAAGGGTCAAGGGTGATTGCTTGATTGTTGATGAGAAGATTTGTTAAAGAATTTGTTGTGTTTGAACGTGGTTGCTTTATATTAGTTATCTGATGTTCGAAATGGAAAGTAATGTATAGCTGCCTAGCGCGATAAAACTGACGAGGAAAATGAAAAAAGGAAACACATGAAACATATGGAGATGCGGGGTATCGATCCCCGTGCCTCTCGCATGCTAAGCGAGCGCTCTACCATCTGAGCTACATCCCCGAAATGACAAAATCTGGCACCTTTACTAATTTATCGGCAATAGCTTTATCTATAATTCTATTAATCATTAATTAATTAATTAACTGTCTTACTTAAAAGGAAGAGTTGTTTCTTGAAACTTTTGAATTGCCAAGAATATCCTCATAAAAAAATAAGTTTTACGATTATTAATGTAATTTTCTTATTAATGTCAGGAAGTTACAACTTTTATTTATTATCTTTTATTTTTTATTCTTAATTATATCTTTAAGTTCTTACACATAAAAAATATTATTACGCAAATTCATATATTAATTTATAAATTAATCTATATATGACGTTAGGTTTCGATTTGGTTAATTTAAAGGTAGTTTTAAAATGTAAGAGAAAAAATTATTTTAAGATTTTTAAATAAAATATATGATATTTCATAAGTGTAAATATATAGTGCACCACTTAAAGTATCATCTTTAATTTCCAAATATCATAATGTTTATCATACAAATTTTTTTTATAGTATTAAAAAAATTAAAGAGGAACAATTTAGTGAACATGCATATGTTTAAGAATGATTGAATCAAAAATAATTATTCAACATACAAAATGTCAACTTTCTATGGAAAAAAGTTATTGTTAAGTAAAAAAGATATGATCTTAACATAAATATTTGTTTAAATTACTCTCTAAAACAATTTGCATAATATGATTTAAGTTTACCGGCTAATAATATGTATAGTATAAATGTTTATTTATAATAATGTGTTACATAAATTAAAATAGCATTCACTGAATTGTAATATAAACAAAAATGGATTAATTACAGAAATAAAATAAAATAACTAAAATTCTATTTTAAATCTTGAATTTCATAATATGTGTACTTATGAGAAAATAGTTACAATTAAAATTAATTAAATAAAAATAAATAGTAAATTTACTTTAAATTTTTTGTCTTTAGCATATCTTATTTATATAATCATTCATAAATTAAATGTTTCAAATCACTTCTCACAACTAGGGAAAATAAACTACATAAAATATTGACGAAGATATAAAAATAATGTTAAGAGAAAAAAAAAAAAAAGAATCATCATTTTATAATTCATTAAAACTAGACTTATTAAATTTCACATTTATGATAGTCTTGAAAATCAGTGAACGAAGATAATGCATGTATGACAATTTTAGGAGATACAACAATAATTTATGTTGGACAAGATATATAGATAGATGAGTATCTTTAATCAATAAAGATGTTATTATTCCTAAGCATTTTCATGTAATTTTTTTTAAATAATTACGACTTTAAAGACATTTTCAAATATTTATGTGTCTCTTATGTCATTATGACTAGAGAAAAATTATATATATCTAGGTATTATGAAATATTATACTTACAAATATAACTAAACTTGCAACCACTATCATCAAAATAGTTGAGAACGAATTATTCAAACATAATGTTTTAGTTTCTAATCGACAATAAAAAAAGATCTTTACAAATTATAGTTATAACAAATTCGAGTTATTTTTCAAAGAGTATGATGCAAAAGGATGACATTAGAAAACTATATTTGATGACTATATTAATGATCATTATATTCAGCAAAAGTAGGGAAAATAAACTATATAAAATGTTGATGAAGATATAAAAATAATGTTAAGATACAAATAAAATATGAAAGAATCATCATTTTATAATTCATTTAAACTGGAATTAGTAAATTTTCACATTTAGGATAGTTTAGAAAATCCGGGAATGATGATAATAGATGTATGACAATGTTAAGAGATGCAACAATAATTTATGTCTGAAAAGATATATAGATAGATGGGTATCTTTAATCAATAAAGATGTTATTATTCCTAAGTTTTTTCAAGTAAATTTTCTCTTTAAAATAATTACGACTTTAAAGACATTTTCATATATTTATGTATCTCTTATGTCATTATAACTAGGGAATAACTATACTTGCAAATATAATTAAACTTGCAACCACTGTAATCAAAATAATTGAGAACGAATTATTCAGACATAGTTTGTTAGCTTCCAATCGACAATAAATAAAAAATAATATTATAAATTATAGTTATAACAATTTTGAGTTATTTTTCCAAAAGTATGATGGAAAAGGATGACATTAGAAAACTATATTATGATGACAATAATAGTGATCATTATTTTAAGCACATTGAATATATCATTAAATAACAAAATCAAAGACGATATAAATTTCTTTAGCATTTACATTTTCACTAAAAAAATATTAACTTTATTTGGGTTTTCAACCCAATTTTTTTTATTTATTTTATTTATCATAGAGTTCAGCTAATAATATTAAATACTATATTTCATTATTCAATAAAATACACCATTTTTTGTTAAACTAATTGAAAGAAAATTATATTATACTATAAATATAAACCTAATACTAAAAATAACTTGAAAAAAAATACTAATTGAAAGAAAATTATATTATACTATTAAATATAAACCTAATACTAAAAATAATTTGAAAAAAAAAATGTCACGTGTGTAGCATGTGCATCTTCCTAGTTTAAAAAATGCAGAACTTGCTCAACCCCAAAATTTGATTGTGTATAAATTTTATCATCTTGATGTATACCTGAAGTTGATGATCATTGATCATGGTTNTTGATGATCTTTGATCATGGTTCCATTTTTTTTATAACTAAATTTAATTTTATATACCAATAAAATTTGTAGTTTTTTTGTAAACTAACACAGTTTGAGCATTTTGTGCTCAAATGATTGTAATTACAGTATTTTTTTACTGGATATTCCTTATTATTCCTCATCAGCTTTTGTGAAACGAATAAAAGAAGCCCTCTTCCGAATCTTGTAAGTTTTAAATCAAAAATACTAAGTTTAAAGAATTAATCAATAATGGGCAAATCAGAAGTTGAGTTAACTAATACTTGCCAAACTAAAGTTTAGAAATCAATCTCATTCCAATTAACTGATTAATGATGAGAGCTAAAAAAAAATATGCATGTTTTAAGAAGTCAACAAAAAGCAACTTAAGGTTCATCATAAACATGTTTTCAGAAGTCAACAAAAATCATATATCATAACAATGTTTTATAGAAGTTATACCTAGTACCTAACCTTACTCCTCAATAAGTGATGCAACAGATTTGTGATGGGTGAAGTTTGTACAGAGAACAACAGAGAACACAACTTTCATTCGAATAATATGAATATCATAACTGTCTGTCCACAATTTCCTACGGTTAATTATATATCCAATCCTAATACATAGATAAAGCCCAATATTAAACAAACCCAATACACAACATAAAATACACACATAAATACTGAAAATAAATAATATAACAATCACACTAAAGTCCGGAGCCGATCATGTGCTAACGCTCGACATCAATAGGTCTCACTACCAACCACTCAACCACCTTTCTGTGCGAAAACTGAAAGTAAACCTGTTGCAGCACAATCAAGACAATACATGTAACTTCCAATGCAACACCCAATTGATTATTGACCACTTCCATTGTGATTGCTGTCAACCCAGAAAAAAATGTGTAGCTCATACTTGCTGATCAAAAACCCAAAAGAGACATTTATCATGAATAGTAGGCTATGGTGGCAAATAATGATGAAGGCTGCCTCCATCCAACTCATCACATCTACACTTACCAACACAACCACTAACATCCACGAATCTATATCAAACGCACAAAAAAATTTGGCAAATGCGTCCAATTCTTACACATTGCGGCCACCATCGGTAGAATCATTAGGCAGTGGATCGAGATGATAAGCACATTCAATAAGGATGGCATGATTTCCTTGGATTTCTTCTGGATCATCACCTCCAATCGAATTGCGATAATCATAATTAAGCACACAAGATATAAAAACAAACATCATCCTCATCAACATAGGTAACATCACCGACATCCTGAAAATAAAGAATGCATGTTACTACACCTAGAATTCAACAGCCTAATTATGAAGCAAAGTAATTTAAGTTTTTTTTTTATATATATATATTTTTTATCAAATTTAAATGTATCATATTTGAAGACTAGAATAGATATATGATTAAGAAGTATTAATAAGCTCAAAATATAGATAGGTAGTTTTAATATGTGTGGTTTTTCATGTGACTAGGAAGATGCACGTGCTAAGCACGTGATATTTTTTTTTTTTTCAAATTATTTTTAGTATTAGGTTTATATTTAATAGTAAATATAATTTTCTTTCAATATATTTTTTTTATTTAATTTTATTTATCATAGAGTTCAGCTAATAGTATTAAATACTATATTTCATTATTCAATAAAATACACTATTTTTTGTTAAACTAATTGAAAGAAAATTATATTATTCTATAAATATAAACCTAATACTAAAAATAATTTGAAAAAAAATACTATTTGAAAGACAATTATATTATACTATAAATATAAACCTAACTGTGACGTCCCACTTTGATTTTAAAGAAAATCCATGGCTTTTCCAAAAATCACAATAAAATTTTCGAAATTCATTTTTCGGATGATAAACATTTTGGCGTTACTCATTCATTTCAAAACACAGTTCAAGTCATGTCTGAACTAACGGGGATTCATTAC